AGTGAGTGGCTGGTCTGTATGTGGGATCCGAACCCTCGGCGGGAGCGTCGCCGCACTCCCAAACGGCGCACTGTAGCAGTGCGCCACCGGGCCGGCCCCAGATTTTGTGCAGCTTTTTCCCCGGTCATCTGGTGTCTTAGTTCTGCTCTGTCCTCTTCGTCATGCTGGGCTTTTCTTCATAAAGGTTGTACGTGTTTACAGCTGAACAGTGTTCTCAGACTGTTTTTACTCAAAAGCCCCTTTCACTGTGTATCGTTTCCGCCCCCTTAAGTCCAATTTTTCAGTGCTTGAAGTAGTACAATTCTTTTGAAAACTGTGTTTTCTATGAATTTTATTAACGTTTACTCAGACAACAGATATATGCACAGGCTTTTCCCTTTATTGGGCTGTCTCAGGGTGCTGTGGAAAAATGATAGATTCTTAGAAGTCCTGCTGTTTTACAGAAAGGGTAAAGGTTGGCTTCATCTTTACCCTGAGGCCAAATTTTCATGACAGCACCATAGGTTAGCCCCTCGGGCCCTTTATAACTTCGAGAGCACTTTGCTACCTGGAAAGACTGTTATGGAACCTTCTGTATTTCCTTGAAATTCTACGTGAAATCTATACATATTGATATAATGGATATAGTGGTAGTTTTCTTTAGTCTGTTAATATGATGGATTACATTCATGAATTTTTCAAATATTGAACCAACCTTGCATCACTGGAATAAACCCCATTTGTGATGTATTACATTTTAAAAATATATCACTGGATGGGATTTGCTAATATTCTCAGGATTTTTGCATCTGTGTTCATGAGGGATACTGGTCTATAGTTTTATTGTATTGTCTTTAGTTTTGGTGTCAGGGTGACAGTGGTCTTATGAAATGAGTTTGGAAGTGTTGCTTCCATTTAATTTCTGAAAGAGGTTGTTTAGACTTGATGTTAATTATTCGTTATATGTTTGATAAAATTCTCCATGTAAATTCTTTATGTGTTTGGTAAAATTCTTTTACACACATTGGGCCTGGAGACTTTTTCTTCTGAAGCCTTTAAATTATGGTTTCAATTTCTTTAATAGTTATCAGACAATTCAGATAATTAATTACATCTTGAATATGCTCATACTTTTTTTAGAAAAATTGATCTTTTCACCTAAGTTGTCATACAAGTATTAGTGTACTTCAGAAAGTCCATGGAAAGATTTGTATTGTCTTTTTTTTTTTTTTTTTTTCTCTTTTTTCGTGTCCGGCAACGGATCGCAACCC